ACTACTTTTACAGGTTTAAGAAACACAAATTTGTCAAGCCTATTAACCTTTCCAAATCATCTGTACTATTCTTACATAGAAACCCTTCCTCTGAGGGGGTCTAATATATAGGAAATACCTACACAGATTATTCTGCATATAAGGGCTGGGGGCAGTGGCTGATGCCGGTAATCTCAGCACTTTGGGAATCCGAGGCGGGCAGATCACCTGAGGTCAGGAGTTCAAGACCAGCCTAGCCAACATGGCAGGACCCCATCTCTACTAAAAACACAAAAATTAGCCAGGCATGATGGTGGGTGCCTATAATCCCAGCTACTAGGGAGGCTGAGGCAGGAGAATCGCTTGAACCTGGAGGCGGAGGTTCCAGTGAGCCGAGATTTTACCACTGCACTCCAGGCTGGGTGACAGAGCAAGACTCCATTTCAAAAAAAAAAAAGAATATTCTGCATATCAGTTTCTCTTGCACAACTTCAAAATTGTTTTAAATGAACACATTTTTTATCCTATGCCATGAAGTCAGCAATAAAATACATTAAAATAATGTTGAAACATATAACGTCTATGTACAAGAAACTCATTACACATAAAGACATTTATTATCAAACACTGAAAAATAAATTAACATCTCCAATCAATGGTAACAGCAATAACTGAGGAAAGACTTTATTTCAGGAACATGTATGTTATCACTTTTCATCCTAACATTCATCTGGCAAAGTAGGTTTGTTTCTTGAGACAGGATCTCTCTCCACCACCCAGGCTGGAGTGCAGTGGCACCATCATGGCTCACTCCACAGTGACCTCAGCCTCCTGGGATCAAGTGATCCTCACATCTCGGCCTCCCAAGAAGCTGGAACTAAAGGCCTGCACCACCATGACCAGTTAAGTTTTGTATTTTTTGTAAAGACAGGGTTTTGCCCTGTTGCCTAGGCTGGTCTGAAACTCTTGAGCTTAAGATATCTACCAGGTGTCAGCCTCCCAAAGTGCTGGGATTACAGGTGTGAGCCAGGCCCTAAGTAGGTGAAAAAAAATCCCTATTTAAAATAAAAAATTGAGGCACCATGAAGATAAGGCCACAAGTCTAAGAACTGGGAGAGCCAGAAGCCCCCCCAAAATCCCTTAGATTTGAGCTCAGTATACCAAACCAAGGGGGCCGGGAAGGCTAACATAATGTTAGCTGGCAGGTTGGTGCAAGTTTTCAGTAGAATTTTCATCGATTTTTGGGAAAATGGGGAAAAGTAAGGAAACAAAATAAACTTTTTTTTTTCTTTTTGAGACGGGAGTTTCACTCTTCAGCCCAGGCTGGAGTGCAATGGCACTATCTCCGCTTATTGCAACTTTTGCCTCCCGGGTTCAAGTGAATCTCCTGCCTCAGCCTTCAGAGTAGCTGGGATTACAGGTGCACACCATCACGCCCAGCTAATTTTGTATTTTTAGTAGAGGCAGGGTTTCACTATGTTAGCCAGGCTGGTCTGAAAGTAAACTTCTCAATGTAACTAAATGATTCCCTGTAAAGATCTTTTATTCTGGCCAGGCATGGTGGTTCACACCTGTAATCCCAGCACTTTGGGAGACTGAGGCGGATGGATCATGAGGTCAAGAGTTTGAGACCATCCTGGCCAACACGGTGAAACCCCTGTCTCTACTAAAAATACAAAAATTAGCTGGGTGTGGTGGTACATGCCTGTAGTCCCAGCTACTCAGGAGGCTGAGGCAGGAGAATCAGTTGAAAATGGGAGGCGGAGGTTGCAATGAGCCAAGATTGTGTCCAGCCTGCCAACAGAGCAAGACTTCATCTCAAAAAACTAAAAAATAAAATTTATTATGAGAGATTCTGTTCTTTCAAATTGAGTGGAAATATCCTTTTGTTAAATGGAATGATGGTGACAGGAGACAGTGGTGTGATATTTGTTTTTATTGGCTGTACCTGGTGGAAATAAAGTCAGGCTGGGCCTGGTGGCTCACACCTGTAATCTCAGCACTTCAGGAGGCTGAGGAGGGCGGATCATGAGGTCAAGAGATCAAAACAATCCCGGCTAACATGGTGAAACCCTGTTTCTACTAAAAATACAAAAATTAGCTGGGCGTGGTAGCACACGCCTGTAATCCCAGATACTCGGGAAGCTGATGCAGAAGAATCACTTGAACCCAGGAGGCAGAGCCTGCAGTGAGCTGAGATCACGCCACTGCACTCTAGCCTGGCGATAGGGCGAGACTCCGTCTCACACACATCAAAAAAAAAAAAAAAAAATCAGCGTTTCTATTGCAGCCTCCTAATTTGGGGGAAGTATTTCTTTAGAAATCTAAAAATCTGGCCCTTTACATCATTATGGCCCCAAAATAACAGGGGACTTTACAGACAGGTAACATATGCCCCTCAAGATTCTCTCATTAACCTCTACCTTACTCTGTTTGGATTAGGACATTTGGGGATTGTGAAATGAGAATCAAGTTGAGTGTAAGCAATCCAAAACCATGACCTGACACTGGATCCTGGAGGACTTTCTTCAGAATCTTTTTCATCTGTTAACTTTCTCTGAGATCAAACTTTCTTTTCCTAAGGGTCACATCTTTGAGTACTGCTGCTACCTGGCAATCACTACTCAAAAGAAACTAACTTGAGGTGTCCAATACTCAGCTTTCATTTGAAGGCTCTCTCAGCTTGACAAAATAAAAACTTTGTTTTGTGTACCTACTTCCAAAAAAAATTAGTCTATGTATGTATATATGTGATTATACATGTACATATACATGTGTGATTTTCATCAGCCTGTTTATAAACTATTTTCAAAATAAGTTGACCTGTAAATTCATTTGTTAAATGAGTCGTTTATAAACTACTTGGTTTTTGCAAGTAGCTTATAAACAGGCTGATCAAACCGAACAAATTTCTTAAAATAATTTCACTATATAGATAGCAAGTAAGTTATTTACTCTTGTATTTTTACCTAATCTTTAACAAGCATCTAAGTGAAACTGTTTTATGTCCACAACTACACAATGAAACGCTTTCAGTCACAACATATTAAATTCACATTTAAAGCTATAAAGATAGCCAGTTACCCTTTAGCCTTACATGTTCTTATATATACTTTTAATATACTTCTTGATGTTTTATGATGCACACTCAGCTCTTGTAGGATATATAACTATGAGAATATTTAGAATATATGCTTATTAAGTGTTTCAAAACACTCTTCAAAAAAAAGTCAATTTTAAGAACTTAAGCATAAAGTACTCCTTCCACACCCCAATGTTAAAAGGTCCATTTACTTTAGACTACTTGTTTCAAAAAAAAATTTAAATTGGTAATAATTCCGCTTAAATTCCATATTAACCTAGGATCAAAAGTTATTTTTAGTTCTTGTTTCTTAAATACTTGAAATGTGCTGCTGCATGATGTTTTCCTTATATATTTATTCATTGAATTAACTTCAGGAGGAATGTACTTATGAGTTTAAAAGTCCTTTCCCAAAGTGGAAATAACACAAAAATGTTTGCATAAAAGACACTCAATGGTTCGCAAGGGGATCTGAGAGTCTCATCAGCCTATTAACTTGGTTCTGAATACCCAACAAATGTGAGCTTTTTGTCACACCTATGTACTTTCCCCTGAAAACTGCCACTTACACTTTAAATGCATTTTGAAAATGTTTCATCTGCCCATGTGATAATTATTTCCCCTGTAAGAGCAAATGAGATAGAGTATCTGGTCCATGAGAAGGCTAAGTGGAAAGATCTGCTCCCTGAAGTTTGTAACCAATAACAAGACAAACACCAATGCTACCTTGCTCACATAATCAACAATACGTGAGTTGAAATAAACTAGTGAGCTGTACATTTCTGTCTACATGCCAATTTACCAAACAGGAGGGGAAGACATTGCTCAAACGTGACTACCGTTAACAAACAACTAGATATTTAGACATCGTCTCTATTAAAACCGTAACCTATCAATTCTGAAATAATTCCTTCGACTTTTGTTAATATCCCTAAAAAAAAAACCAACAGCAGCCACCTTTAAAATGTAAATATCTCCCTTTTTCAAAGTAACCTGCCTAGAAAAATTTAATGCATTAAAATAACAGACAAACCAATTACAACATTAAAAAAAAAAAAAAAAAAAAACACTAAAATGATCAGTAACACAAACCAATCGCTCCAGTCTAGCAAAGTGTGTGTTATGGGTATGCTATTATACTAATAAGCAACTACGTTTAAAAGTCCTCCCAATGCCTAAAACACCACCATACACATAACATTTGTCCTTTACTCCAATGAAGCTTAAACTCAGACCCAAACTCAGACCATTTCCCCCTCCTGGCACACTGAAATATACGAGGGGAAATCCAAGAAATCAGGGATGTTAAGAGCCGGTATCTTCTTCCAGAGTAGGGTCAAATTCGTGTTTGCCCGCAAATGTCACCGTCCCAGGAACTCTGCAAATTCTAACTAGCGCTGGAGTACAAACAGGGCCTGACCACGGAAACACCTGTCCCGGCACCAGGAAGACGCTGGGAAACGCAAGCCCCCTGAGTCCGCGCTAGCCCCAAAGCCTCTGCTGCAGCGAGGGGGGCACAAGAGGTGGCCGCTGGCCTCGCGGGTGCGGCGGACAGGGTCCCACACACCCCGTCCGCCTCCCCAGAACCAGGAAGCCTGTCAGGCCGGCCGGGACCCACCCTCCGCAGACCCTCGCGCTCCAGCCCAGCCCGGCCCCGGCCCGCCCGCCCCGGCCTCCCGGCTGCACTCTGCCACCTCATCCCTCCCCGGCGGCCTCGCGGCCCCGCCACCTCCACCGCGCGGCCTGGGTCGGGTCGCCCCCTAAACCCCGGGCAGGAGCGCCAGGCAGCCGCCCCCCGCCCGGCCTCGGACACCGTCCGCTCCCCAGCGGCCCGGTCCCCGCAGCCCCCAGGCCCGAGCTCCCGCCGCGCGCTCCCCACCCCCAGCCTCCGCCCTCGCCCCGCGCGGCCGCTCCCGGCCCACTCCCCCACGCCGGCTACCTGGAGGCAAGGGCGGCGGAGCACTTCACCCACGGCCCCAGGTCGCAGAGGGCCCGGTGCTCGGGGTCCCGCTCCTTCTCCCGCTCCACGTGGTAGGCGTAGATGGAGAGCAGGATCCCAGCAGCGCACACGGCGTACCGGGCCACCCGCTCCCACCGCGGCACCGACACTCTCAGCAGGACGGGCGCCGCCATCTTCGCCCCTCCGTCGCCGCCGCCGCCGCCGCCGCCTCCCTCCGCCTCCGCCTCAGCCGCCGCCGCCCGCCGGGGCCCGACCCAGCCGCCGCCGCCGCCGCCACCGCCGCCGCCGCCGCGCCCCATTGGCTCGGTCGCCTGCTCCGGGCCCCGCCCCCACAGGCGCGCGGCCCAACCGCCCCGAAAGGAGTGAGGCGGGCGGGGCGGGGACGGCGCGCGCGGGCGCGGAGGGAGGGGGCGGAGCGCGCAACCGCCGGGGAGGCCGGATCCGCCGGCGGAGACTGAGGCGTTGCAGCCGCGGAGCGCGAGGGGGGCGGGGCCCGGGTTGATGGGCGGGGCAGGGAGGGGCGGGGCCAGGAGGGAGGGATTTAGGGGAGCCTTGCAAAGAACATGTTGCAAGGATCCCACTGTGGGTGACTGGGTGAGCCCTCGGCCCCTCCCTCTGGGGATGGCAATCAGTTGCCGTCCTTTTTCCCTTTTTCGTCGTTATCACTTGATATTTCTTATCCAATCCAATCTTCCCTGGCCAAGGCTTGGAGCTCCTGAGCCACACTCCTATGACCTGATCTTCCCACCAGCACCTCCGGACACTTTGTGTTCAACTTGTGCAAAACTGTTTTTTTTAACGTGCAAAACTATGTTTTAAATTAAAAACCTATTTTTAAAACATGATTTATGGGCCGGGCGCGGTGGCTCACGCCTGCAATCCCAACACTTTGGGAGGCTGAGGCAGGTGGATAACTTGAGGTTAGGAGTCCGAGACCAGCCTGGCTTACATGGTGAAACCCCCGTCTCTTCTGAAAAAAAAAATGATAATAATAAAAATTAGCCAGGCATGGTGGTGCGCGCCTGTAATCCCAGCTACTTGAGAGTCTGAGGCACAAGAATCACATGAACCCGGGAGGCAGAGGTTGAAGTGAGCAGAGATCGCACCACTGCACTCCATCCTGGGCCATAGAGGGTAAGTCTCAAAAAAAAAAAAAAAAAAAAAAATTTACAAATGCCTTGCTTCTCTGTAAGTTGAATTTGAGGTGGCTTATAATTCATATCATATAGAAAATATAGATGAGCTAATAAAATTAGTACGAAGAAAAGGAAAGTCAGCATCAGGCATGGTGGCTCATGCCTGTAATCCCAGCACTTTGGGAGGCTAAGGCAGGCGGATCACCTGAGGTGACCAACATGGAGAAATCCTGTCTCTAATAAAAATACAAAATTAGCCAGGTGTGGTGGCGCATGCCTGTGATCCCAGATACTACTCGGGAGGCTGAGGCAGGAGAATCCCTTGAACCTGGGAGGCAGAGTTTGCAGTGAGCTGACATCTCGCCACTGCACTCCAGTCTGGGCAACAAGAGTGAAAGTGTCTTGTTTCAAAAAAAGAAAAAAGAAAAAAAAAGTCAGAATAAAATGAAAGGCCAGGAATAAGAACACAGATAAGCAGGTCATAGGGGCTTACACAGTTATAAAATTGGGTCATACATTTGGCTCTGAGCTTCCTGGTGGCCAAAACTAAAAGGAAGACACATGTATATGCTCTTCTGACTGTCTCTAAGAAGAAACACAGTGTTCTCAGAGATTCTCAGTGTTTCCCTAGTTGCAGCTTTCAATTTTTCAGGGGCTTTATATAGTGATTTTGAGTAATAAGCAATATCCTTGTATTGGTTACTTATTGGTGGGTAAAAATTGCCCCAAATTTAGAGCTTACTAAACAACAAACTTTTTTTTCCTCACAGTTTCAGTGGGCTTGTGAATCTGGGTGAGGTTAGCTGTGGCCTCTGGCTCAGGCTCTCAGGAGGATACAGTCAAGCTGTCAGCCAGGGCCGCAGCTCTCTCCGGGCTTCACCATCCTTTTTCAAACTCACATCCACGGCTGCTGGGAGGCCTCAGGTCCTCTAAGGTTGTTGGCTGGAGACCTCAGTTCCTGTCCACTTGCACCTCTTCACAAGAAGCAGCTGGCTTGCCCCAGGGCTAGGGAGGAGAAAGAGGAAGAGAGAGAAAAAGAAAATGAGAGATCACAGTCCTTTTCTGTAACCTAATCCCAGAAGTGACATCCTATCACTTTTACGTATTCTATTACTACTTAGAAAATAGCACCTAGGTCCAGCCATGCATGATGGCTCACGCCTGTGATCCCAGAATTTTACGAGGCCGAGGTGGGTGGATTACCTGAGGTCAAGAGTTCAAGACTAGCCAGGCTCGGAGGCTCAGGCCTGTAATCCTAGCACTTTGGGAGGCCGAGGTGGGTGGATCACCTGAGGTCAGGGGTTCAAGACCAGTATGGCTATCATGGTAAATCCCCATCTTTATTTTATTTTATTTATTTATTACTTTTTTGGGGGACGGAGTTTCGCTCTTGTTACCCAGGCTAGAGTGCAATGGCGCGATCTCGGCTCACCGCAACCTCCGCCTCCTGGGTTCGGGCAATTCTCCTCCCTCAGCCTCCCGAGTAGCTGGGACTACAGGCACGCGCCACCATGCCCAGCTAATTTTTGTATTTTTAGTAGAGACAGGGTTTCACCATGTTGACCAGGATGGTCCCGATCTCTTGACCTCGTGATCCACCCACCTCGGCCTCCCAAAGTGCTGGGATTACAGGCGTGAGCCACCGCGCCCGGCCCGAAACCCCATCTTTAAAAAAAAAAAAAAAACAGTTCAAGACCAGCCTGACCAATATGGTGAAACACCGTCGAGACTAAAAATACAAAAATTAGCTGGATGTAGTGGAATATGCCTGTCATCCCAGCTACTTGGGAAGCTGAGGCAGGAGAATAGCTTAAACTTTGGAAGTGGAGGCTGAAGTGAGCTGAAATCACACGGTTGCACTCCAGCCTGACCTAGAAGGTGAAACTCCATCTCGAAAAAAAAAAAGAAAGAAAACAAACAAGTCTCAGTAGTCTGTAGGTCCAGCCCATCCTCAAAGGAAGAGAATTACACAGGACATGAATATGAGGAGGCTGTTTACCACAGTCCTCAAGAACATCCTCACTCTGCCTGGGTGGTGTGGCTCACAACATTTTGAGAGGCTGAGGCAGGAGGATTGCTTGAGGCCAGCAGTTCAAGACCAGCCTGAGCAACATAGGGAGCTCTGGTCTCTGCAAAAAATATACAAAATTAGCCAGGTGTGGGGGTGCTTGCCTGTTGTTCCAGCTACTTGGGAGGCTGAGGGGGAAAGACTGATTGAGCCCAGGGGTCTTGGGACAGGGGTGTGGGTTGAGGCTGCAATGAGCCAATATTGCCCCACTGCACTCCCACCTGGATGACAGTGTGAGACCCTGACCTGAAAAAAAAAAATCCTTACTTCGCATCCCTAATGATTTTCATAAATCTAAGTGGACTCCTGCAGCTTTCCTTCTTACAGATTCCTTCATTTAGTTAAGGAGATCTGTTGATCATCTTGCTTGTTTTATGTATGCGGGAGGTTTACCCATGTTATTACAGACAGTGAATTATTTTTCATTACTGTGTAATAGACCATTATATTAGATATCCATAATTTTATTTGTCCATTCTACTGCTGTTGGAAATCTGGCTCATTTTTAGCTATCACGAATTAAGTTGCTATCAACATTCTACAAATGAATTTTGGTGAACATAAGCCCTCTTTTTCTTTTTTTTTAATTGGAGAGAGAGTTTTGCTCTTGTTGCCAAGGCTGGAGTGCAATGGTATAATCACGACTCCCTGCAACCTCTGCCTTCTGGGTTCAAGCGATTCTCTTGCCTCAGTCTCCCAAGTATCTGGGATTATGGTCATTCACCACCATGCTTGGCTAATTTTTTTTTTTTTTTAGTAGGCATAGGGTTTCACCATGTTGGTCAGGCTGGTCTTGAACTCCTGACCTCAGGTGATCCACCCGCCTTGGCCTCCCAAAGTGCTGGGGTTATAGACGTGAGCCACCCTGCCCAGCCAGCATAAGGCCTCATTTCTGTTGGGAATATATCAGGGGTGGAATTGACGAGTTCGATAGTATTGATTGCATGTGTAAATACTGCCCCTGTCAATTCAGGTGCTCCAAGTGACAAGGTGCAGCAGCCTGCAGGCCCACGCAAGCATGAACATTAAAAAAAAATCTTGAATTTCTTCAAGAAAAATTCCAGGCACTTAGCCCTGCAAAGTCATTGAGCAATATATAAGCAAGAAGGTAATAATAGCTAGCAGCACAAGCGGCAAAGTCCCACTCTGGCCAGAAAAATGTGAAAAAGGGTTTGACAAATGTTGGGAAATGATAAGAGAAAGCGTGTGTGAAAGAGACAGAGAGATGGGAAATAAAACTAAAGAAAGAAACAGTGTAAAGAGAAAAGAGAGAGAAGCTTTTTCTTTTAAAAACTCAGGCAGGGCCAGGCGCGGTGGCTCAAGCCTGTAATCCCAGCACTTTGGGAGGCCGAGGCGGGTGGATCACGAGGTCAAGAGATCGAGACCATCCTAGTCAACATGGTGAAACCCCGTCTCTACTAAAAATGCAAAAAAAATTAGCTGGGCATGGTGGCGCATGCCTGTAATCCCAGCTACTCAGGAGGCTGAGGCAGGAGAATTGCCTGAACCCAGGAGGCGGAGGTTGCAGTGAGCCGAGATCGCGCCATTGCACTCCAGACTGGGTAGCAAGAACGAAACTCCGCCTCCAAAAAAAAAAAAAAAAAAAAAAACAAAAACTCAGGCAGAACAACTAAGCCTTTCAAAAGGTTTAAAAAGGAAAACTATAAAGTAAAAGTGGAGGGAATTGTGGGAAGTAGAAAAGTTCCTGTGGTCCCAGCTCCATGGGAGGTTAACTGGGAGGACTGCTTGAGCCCAGGAGTTCAAGGCTGCAGTGAGCTATGATTGTGCCACTGCACTCCAGCCTGGATAACAAATTGAGACCCTGCCTTTAACACAGAAAGTCTGGGGTCAGATACAGCGGCTTGCGCCTATATTCCCAGCACTTTGGGTGGCTGAAGCAGGAGGGTGGCTTGAGCCCAGGAGTGTGAGAACAGCCTGGGCAACAGAGTGAGACTTTGCCTCTACAAAAGAAAGAAAGAAAAAGAAGACCAGGCACGGCGGCTTATGCCTTTAATCCCAGCACTTTGGGAGGCCAAGGCAGATGGATAATTTGAGGTCAGGAGGTTGAGACCAGCCTGATGAACATGGTGAAACGCTGTCTCTACTAATTAGCTGGGCATGGTGGGTTGTGCTTGTAATCCTAGCTACAGGTGTGCCCACGATGCTTGACTAATTTTCTTCAATTTCGTAGAGATGGGGTCTTGCTACATTGCCCAGGCT